TCTCTCTCTCTCTCAGAGAGAGAAAGAGAGCGAGAGAGGACGACTCAGAGGCGCGAGGTGGAAGCACAAACGAGCGGGGAGGGTATCAGGAGCCACGCGGTGAGCTGGCAACACCATCAATTGCCAAGCTCTGCGGTCTTCTATGTAGTGTTAAATATGTTTTCAGCCCAATTAACGAGTGGTTATACACGTAGGGGGGGGGGGGTGGGCACCGGAGTACCAGGATAAAACCCGTGCCGGCGAGAGGGGGGGGGGGGCGGGCAACACTCTATCCCATAGAGGTAGCGCAGATCGAGAGGAGTCAGCAATTTTCTCTGCGTTGCACATTCGTGGCGAGCCAAGGTACGGCCGCTCCTCTACGCCTACCCAGCGGCAAAGGGGAGTTCCACAACATTTAGTGCGGCGATCCACAAACCCTCTGCGGCTGCCTCGATGGCGACAGGCAGCCACGTGCAGCGCAGCCACCGCCGCTCGACCACGACGACCTCTAATGAGCGCGGCGCGCGCGCACGGCCGCGTGCCCGTGGGGTCTGCGTGCAGAGCGTGTCCCTTATTCGGTGGGGGCTGGGTAGGGGAGAGGGTGGGTTGGAGGGCGAGTGGGGGAGACGGCAAACACTAATGACCCCGTGACGCCACAGCGCAACGCGAGACCGCTGTGTGCTGAGAGGTTCAGCGGCTGCAAATTGTAAAAGGCAATGATGCAACCTAGAGCACTGCGGCCGATACAGCCCCTCCTGGAAAATGATCGTTAACGTGACTCTCGCTGCTCGGCCGGTTAAACGCGGGACGCCAATAAATCAATCGGAGGATCGCCTTCACGTGCGTCTCGGTGCGGGGAGCTCATCGTATCATCATCGTCGTCGTCATCAGCCACGGTCCATCCACTGCTGGATGAAGGCCTCCCGGACCCGAGTCGGCACCAGACGGAGGTGCGGAGCCAAATCACGGAGTCGTTCAGCGCGAGCGAGGAGGCTCTGTGAGCTGCGCGAATGACCTTGCCCCCCCCCCCCCACACCTTCGCCTCGCCCTCCCCCTCACTGCCCCCACTTCTACTCAGCCCCCCTCCTTCCCTCCCCTCCTCCCTCCCAACTTCTCCGCGTCATTTAAATTCAGGGAGAGGAGTGAGGGCGCTGGGGGGGGGGGGGGGGGCGGTTGTGCAACGAGGTGGAGGGTCCCGTTAGCGGCTAGGGACGAAGCGGTGAGGCCGCCGCACGACACTCGCGCGGATTCCTTCCCCCGTCAACCACCGAACGCGGAACGTCGCTCACAATGCCCCTCGAGGCGAGTCGGGGGACGCGAAGGGTTAGGTAGGTAGGGGGGGGCTGGTTGGGTGGGCGCGGGGCGGGGGAGAGAGGGGGGGCCGTGCACTCGACGTGATCGCCGCGAGCCCCGATAATGGGCTGTCAGGATGAGCGCAGCGCGCAGCGACAGTGCGTGGGAGGGAAGGGGAGTTGGAGGGGTTGGAGAGGGAGGGAGGGAGGGGTGGAGGGAGATGCCAGGATAGGCAGGAAAGCGATGGAAAGGGGAGGAAGAAATGGACGAAGGGAGGGAGAGATGGAGGGAGGGAGGGATGGGATCATGGTGGGGCTGGGTGTCTACGCACAATGCGTGTTTTTATTTACGTATCGCCACAAACCCGGCGACGGTAGTTCGAGTCCCGCTCACGACCAATAACAGTGGCGAATATCTGAACCCGTCCTGGAACTCCTCTCGGTCGACTCCGCCTCAAATTGATACCTGGTGCGGCTGTGTAAGCATCGCCATTTGGAGAGCCAAAGGCGGCCGGGTGTCGAACTGAGCACCCACCCACCAAGTGAGCCGCGTGCGAACCTTCACGAGGTGCCCGCGAGCCACCGCCTGTCCCGACAGCCTGTCAAAGACCCGACGGCGGGGATCTTTGTCCTGCGTGTCTGAGCGAGCGAGCGAGCGAGACCCAGTGAGTGGGTCTCCGTTTAGTGCATTACTACCGTGTGTGCATTCGTGCGAAGGCATATCCGCGAGGTGCGCGTGATGTCCTCTGATTGTGGCCCGTTAACATCATCATCCACCGTCGTCGCTGGGGGGTGGGCTCGAGTGGGACGGGGGGGTGGAGCAGCGCGCCTCTTCGCTACGGATCCTCTGGCCACTGCGCCTCGTCCGTTCCTCCGTCGCCGCGCGCGTCTCTCCTCTGGCTGCGCATTGCGCGAGCCTCGGGCTGGCTATAAACAGATCCATCCTCATCTTCCCTAAGCACACGCCACCCACGGCGCCAACGCGGCGCTCTGACGTGTCCATGATTTAATATCGCCGCGGAGGCAATTAATAAGAGCCGCGCGCGCGCGCGCCCCTCCTCGCTCCTCTCGCACAAATTCGTTTGGCTGCGATCTCTCAGACATCGTCCCCGGATTTACGCGATGCCGCGCGCACACGCGCAACATTGCCGCACGTGCGTGTTGGGTGGGTTGTGTGTGGGTGAGTGTGGGTGAGTGTGGGGTGAGTGTGGGTGAGTGTGCGTGAGTGTGGGTGGGTGTGTGTGGGTGACTGTGTGTGTGGGGGGGTGTGTGGGTGTGAGGTTAGTGTGCGTGGGTGAGTGGGAGTGACTGTGGGTGAGTGTGGGTGAGTGTGGATGTGTGTGGGTGAGTGTGGGTGTGTGTGGGTGACTGTGTGTGTGTGGGTGAGTGTGGGTGTGTGTGGGTGGGTGAGTGTGGGTGACTGTGTGTGTGTGTGAGCGTGGGTGAGTGTGGGTGAGTGTGGGTGGGTGTGTGTGGGTGTGGGTGGGTGGGTGAGTGTAGGTGAGTGTGGGGGAGTGTGGGTGAGTGAGTGTGGGTGAGTGTGGGTGAGTGTGGGTGGGTGACTGTGGGTGTGTGCGGGTGACTGTGGGTGAGTGTGGGTGAGTGTGGGTGGGTGAGTGTGGGTGAGTGCGGGTGACTGTGTGTGTGTGTGGGTGTGCGTGGGTGGGTGTGGGGTGTGTGTGTGGGTGGGTGGGTGAGTGTGGGTGACTGTGTGTGTATGTGAGTGTGGGTGAGTGTGGGTGTGTGTGGGGTGAGTGTGCGTGGGTGAGTGTGAGTGACTGTGGGTGAGTGTGGGTGTGTGTGGGTGACTGTGGGTGTGTGTGTGTGGGGTGAGTATGTGTGGGTGTGTGTGGGTGGGTGGGTGTGGGTGACTGTGTGTGTGTGAGTGTGGGTGAGTGTGGGTGTGTGTGGGGTGAGTGTGCGTGGGTGAGTGACTGTGGGTGAGTGTAGGTGAGCGTGGGTGTGTGTGGGTGACTGTGGGTGTGTGTGTGTGGCCTGGCACAAGCATCGTGGTGACGTCGCCGCCACTTAGTGGCGAATGGCGGTTGTTGTTGTGTGTGTGCGTGGTGAGTCCGGGTGTGTGTGTGTGGGTGTGTGTGGGTGTGTGTGGGGTGAGTGTGGGTGGGTGTGTGTGTGTGAGTGCGGGTGTGTATCATGGGGTGAGTGTGAGTGTGTGTGGGTGACTGTGGCTGAGTGTGGGTGACTGTGGGTGTGGTGTTGGTGTGTGTGGGGTGAGTGTGTGTGGGTGTGTGTGGGTGAGTGTGGCGACTGTGGGTGACTGTGGGTGAGTGTGGGTGAGTGTGGGTGTGTGTGTGTGGGTGTGCGTGGGGAGCGGCGGTGTAGCGGTTAGCACGCCGCGCTATGAACCCAAGGACACGAGTTCTATTCCCGCTCACGGCCAACACCATTGACTGTTATTGTGAACTGGTCCGGGCCTCTCCTAGGTCGATTTAGCCTCAAATAAGAAAACATCGCCACTAGGGAGACAAAGGCGGCCGGGCGTGGTGTGGGCCATCCACCCCCTCGTGTGCCGTGGCGGCCTTCACAGTTGTTCGCTAACAGCACTTGTCCCAATAGTCTGTTAAGCCTATACGGGCGATCTTCGCCTTTGTGTTACGGAGATCGTGCGGAGCGGTGGCGCAGTGGTTAGCGCAGTGGTTAGCGCACTGCGCTGTGAAACACGGCCTTAATCAAATTCAATTCGCGCTCATGAGTGGCGAATATTTGAGCCGGTCCTGTGCCTCTCCTAGGTCGCCTCAGCCTTAAAACGAGTACCTGGCGCGATGTGTGCACATCAGCACTGGGAAGACAAAGGCAGCCGGGCTTGGTGTTGGTTACCCACCTCGTGTGCCGTGCTGGCTAACAGCACTTGCCCCAACGATCTGTTCAAGGCAATCGAGGGATCTTCATCTTTGGTGCGGTGCACACGTGTAACATGATACACGTGTGTGTGTGTGGGGCACACGTGTGACGTGATACACGTGTGTGTGTGTGGGGCACATGTGTGACGTGATACACGTGTGCGTGTGTGGGGCACATGTGTAACATGCTACACGTGTGTGTGTGGGGCACACGTGTAACATGCTACACGTGTGCGGGTCGGGCAGGTTGCTCGACCGTGGGGGGCATAAAAATATAGAAGTAGAGTACAACATTGGATTGTTCTGAGCGCCCTTCTGTTGCTCGCCACGTGTGTGTGTTCAACCACCGGGGAGCGGTGGCGCAGCGGTTAGCGCACTACAGTGATGAATAGCTGAACCGGTCCGAAGCCTTCCGTAGGTCGACAAAGCCTCAAATGATTGCCTGGTGCGGTGTATTAAAAAAAAACGAGTGCTGGGGAGACAAAGGCTGTCGGGCGTGGTGCTGGCCACACTACCTGGCCCCGTGCGCCGTACTCGCTCCCCACACGGCACTTAGCCCAACAATCCGATAACGGCTCCGCGGCGGCGAGGACCTCGTTGTAAGTACACGTGGCCGGTGCGTGGAATTCGTTCAGTGCGTCGTAAATATTCAACGCGGCGGCTCCCGTTACGAAGTTGGGTCACGAATTGAAGCGAGCAAATCGATTCGCAAATTCCTGCACGTCCCTCCGCATCGCCCCCCCCCCACTCCACCGCCCCCCCCCCCCACACCTCCCTCCCCCCCGAGCCCGACGTAATGGACCGTCTCGGCTCACGTGACACGACCATCTCTGGAACAAAGCGATCCGCGGACTCTACCATTGCTGCACGCGCATGGTTGGTGGGGGGGGTGTGTCTCTCGGCGTCTGGTTCATCTCGACTCTCCCCACTGGAATAAATAAACAAATAATGCTCACGCGAAGGGGCTCCGACCTCGGCCGTCAGCTGTCGGTGGCGGGCGCGAGAGAACGCGGCGCCGGGTGAGAGTGCGAATCCCTCCTCTGTCTGCCGAGCGGAACGATCCCTCGCCGAGGAGGAGGAGGAAGAGGAGAAGAACGGCCCGAAGCCCGTTTGGGGCCGGGAGACACGGCAGGGGAACAATCAGTGGCGCTCTTATGTCTGCCCGGAGCGCGAGCCGCAAACCCACGGTCGCAGTTCCTCGCGGGTTCACGGCCACCGTCAAATGGCAGCGGCGCGTCGGAGCGCGCTGCTGACGCCGCCGCCGCCTCCTCCGCTCCAGTCACCGCCTCGAGACGCGCCTCTCGCGTTCCTTCCCCGAGCCGGTGAGGCTCATGTGAGCGCGACCCCTGCCCGACATCATCCTCCTGCTCTTCGACTCGAGCGAGCACAGCTCCACGGAACCGGTGAGCGGCACCTGGAGCGCCTGGGCTTCTGCTCCTCCTCTTGTCCACTCGCTGCCTCCACCGCCTCCTCCTCCTCGTCGTCGTCCTTCCGTCCGCGGTAACGGGAGTCGCTTTAGTCGCGGGCGCCTCTGATGCTCCTGCTCCTGCTACCGACGTGAATCGTTGGCGATCGTCATCGCCTCGGAGGAGGGTTTCGTTGAGTGGCTGCCACAGCAGCTCGTTTGCTCCTGCGTGGCTCGCTCGCTCTCGTTCGCTGGGCTCGCAGCACCCACCGCCAGCACCGTCAGCGCCGCGCGCACCAAACTCGACTCCGCCGCGGTCTCCGCCGCCCCGCGGCTGACCGAGGCGAGTTTTACGAGCGGCGCTGCTGAGCGGGGACTCACGGAGTCGTGGGGGCGCGCGAGGCGGCGATGGACGAGGCTGACGGGACGACGAGGGGCAGAGGCTGAACAGGCGCCGTCAAAGCGCACCCCGCTCCTGAACGGTGAGCGGCGAGCGTTCCTGATGCGCGCGCGCGCGGGTGTGTGCACGTGTGTGTGTGTGTGTATGTGTGTGTTCGTGTGTGTGTGTGTGTATGTGTGTGTGTATATGTATGTGTGTGCACGTGTGTGTGTGTGGTGTTCGTGTGTGTGTGTATTCGTGTGTGTGTTCGTATGTTCGTGTGTGTGTGTGCACGTGTGTGTGTGCACGTGTGTGTGTGCACGTGTGTTTGTGTGTGTATGTATGTGGGGAGCGATAGTGTAGCAGTTAGCGCGCTGCGCTATGAATCCGGCGACACAGGTTCGATTCCCGCTCACGGCCACACCAGTGACGATTATCTGAACCGGTCCCGGGCCTCCCCTAGGTCGACTCAGCCTCAAATGAGTACCTGGTGCGGTGTGTAAACATTGCCACCAGGGAGACAAAGGCGGTCGGGCGTGGTGCTGGCCACCCACCCCCTCGTGTGCCGTTCCGGCCTTCATAGGTGCTCGCTAACAGCACTTGCCCCAACAGTCTGTTCCAGGCTATATGGGGATATTTGTCTTTGTCTTTGTGTGTATGTGTGTGTATGTGTGTGTATGTACGTGTGTGTGGCACAGTAGGGGGCACAGGTGGTACATCAGCCAGTCATCTCAGTCAATTGACCCGTGGCACCTGGGTCTGCCCCGTGACCTCCTGCCAGCGGGCGTTCAACACTTCACGTGGCCCGAACGTGCACCTAGCCTGGCACAAGCGTCGTGGTGACGTCACCGCCACTTAGTGGCGAATGGCGGTTGTTGTTGTTGTGTGTGTGGGGAGCGGTAGTGTAGCGGTCAGCGCGCTGCGCTCTATGTACCCGGCGAGCCGAGTTCGATTCCCGCTCACGGCCAACACCGGTGACGATTATCTGCACCGGTCCTGGGCCTCCCCTAGGTCGACTCAGCCTCAAATAAGTACCTTGTGCGGTGTGTAAACATCGCTACTGGGCAGACAAATGCGGTACGGGTGTGGTGCTGGCCACCCACCCCCTCGTGTGCCGTGCCGGCCTTTATAGGTGCTCGCTAACAGCACTTGCCCCTAGAGCCTGTTAAGGCTATACGGGGAATCGTTGTTAGTGTGTGTGTGTGACTTTAACAGGATCTCGCGGACAGAACTTGTCTCGGCAGCATGAACGCGACGTGGTGGATATTTGTCTCTTGTGTGTTCGTGTCTTTGTGTGGGAAGCGGTTGTGTAGCGGTTAGCGCGCTGCGCTATGAACCCGGCGACCCGAGTGACGATTATCGCAACGGGCCAAGGGCCTCCCCTAGGTCGACTCAGTCTCAAATGAGGAGCTGGTGCGGTGTTAAAACATCGTGGTTTAGACCCCTCGTGTGCTATTCAAAAGTCTGTTCAGGCTATACGGAAGAATTTTGTCTTTGTGTATATGAATATATGTGTGTATATGAATGTATGTGTGTGTGGAGGTGGAAACGCTGTGTGTGCGTGTGTCTGTGAGTATGTCTGTGAGTATGTTTGACTGTATGTGTCTGTGCGTGTGTGGGAACGTGCGTGGCAGCGTAGCGGTTAGCGCGCTGCGCTACGAACCTCGCGACCCGAGTTCGATTCCCGCTCGCGGCCAACACCGGTGACGATTATCTGAAAGGTCGAATCAGCCTCAAATGAGTACCTGGTGCGGTGTGTAAACATCGCCACTTGGGAGACAAAGGCGGCCGGGTGTGGTGCTGGCCACCCACCCACCCCCTCGTGCACCGTCCCGGCCTCCATTGAATTGCGAGCATCTCGCTAACCGCACTTGTCCTAACGGTCTGTCCAGGCCACACGGGGGATCTTTGTCTTTGCATCCGCGTGAGTGTCGATTCACTTAAAATGCGCAAAGGGTAGCGGACTCACGTGGCCCGGCCGCTACGAGCTGTGAATGCTAAAGTCAGCGGCGGCTATCGACGCGACACAGCACGTGGCTCGCTGTGGCTCAGCGCGGCTCACGCAGAGCAGGTGGCTCAGCGTACGCGTGGCTTAGAGTGGGCTCACGAAAAGCGCGCGGCTCAGCGAGACTATAACAAGGGCCCTGACTCATTCTCATCAGCGAGGCTCTCTCGCGGTTGAGGCTGATCGTGGCTCAGACAGTCTCGTTACGGGCTTGTCCGCAATTAAAGGCTGTGGCTCAGAATGAGGGTGGCTGTTGTGTGTGTTTGTATGTGTGTGTGTTTGTGTGTGTGTTCATAGTCAACGTTTTTGGGTTTAGATCGCGTTATTTATAAATGTGTCGTAACCCTCCACCACCCGACACGGCCAATCAGTAAAAAAGTGTCACGTTGAAAAAAGATAAATAGTTCACTGCTTTAGCCCACGGGTGTGTTGAAGCGTGAAACCACAACATTTACAATTTGAGTACGACGTTTCGCTGGTCATTGCATCCAGCATCATCGGGCAATTCGCCACTTTTTTTGCTGATTGGCCGTGTCGGGTGGTGGAGGGTTACGACACATTTATAAATAACGCGATCTAAACCCAAAAACGTTGATTCTGTGTGTGTGTGTTTGTTGTGTGTGTGTGTGTGTTCTTTTTTACAGCTGAAACTCAGGGAACCGCGTGAAATCCGCGGTGCTGGGAGGAATGGCGGCCGCACAGGCGATTAGAGCTCCGGCTTTGAAGGGGATTGTTGGATATATATTTTTACCGCTTTCATTTAAATGCCGCGTTTGATGCGCGCGCGTGATACGCGTGCGTGTGCACGCGCGCGGCCCCGTCTCGAATTCCCCGCACGCACCTGCATCAGCGAGCGAGCGAGCGCGGGGCGCAACAGCGGTGGTGCCGATAGTGGACGTGCCGGTGGTGGTGTTGGTGGAGTTGGTGGTGGTGGTGCCGATGGTAGTGGTGCTGGTGCTGGTGGCGCCGGTGGTGGTGCCGATGGTGGTGGTGGTGGTACCGGTGGTGGTGGTGGTGATGGTGGTGCCGATGGTGGTAGTGGTGGTGTTGGTGCAGGTGGCGCCGGTGGTGTTGGCGGTGCCGGTGGTGGTGGTGTTGGTGCAGGTGGCGCCGATGGTGGTGGTGGTGGTGCCGATGGTGTTGGTGGTGGTGTTGGTGCTGGTGGTGGTGGTGGTGCCGGTGGTGGTGGCGATGCCGGTGGTGGTGTTGGTGTTGGTGCCGGTGGTGATGGTAGTGGTGCCGGTACCGCCTTGGAGCCAGTATGTTGACAACCGGTTCCATTTAATTGCGAGCAGCTGGGCTCTACGACCCGCTAAATCACTACCAGGGAGCCGTGGCTGACGGGGGGTCTCGTGTCCCCCCCGCGCGGAGGGGCCTGAACCTCTCCCACCAACCCCCCCACCTCCCCCCGCACCCCGCCCCTCCTCCGAGCGGGTGAGGTTGCGAAATAAATGACCTCAGCCGTGTCCGCGACACGAGCCCTCTCTCATTAATGTCCCGCAGCGCGTCGCTCGCACAGCTGCCAGCGGTGGCCGTGGCCATTGGCTTCAGGCGGCGTTCACCGAAAGGGCGGCGGAGGAGGAGGAGGTGGCGGGTAGGGGGGGGGCTGCCTGTCTGGGGGAGTGCAGGTGGAGATGGCGGGCAGGTCCATATTAGCGCGTGGCGGCGCGACCGGTTGCGTGGCGGCGCGAACGGTTGCGTGGCGGCGCGAACGGTTGCGTGGCGGCGCAACCGGTTGCGTGGCGGCGCAACCGGTTGCGTGGCGGCGCAATCGGTTGCGTGGCGGCGCAACCGGTTGCGTCCCGCCTCTGATTTTCACGGGGTCGTGGGCGTTGCGCGCGCCGGTATTGACGGGCGATTAGCGACGCGGAGAGGCGACGCTGGTATATTTGTTGTTTTCTTGCTGGAGACGGGAGCACGGAATGTAAACGACGCCGTGACTCTATGCGAGTGGTTCTAAGGCTCAGACGAGCGGGGACTCCGAGAGAGAGATACCCAATATTCCAGCATCAGACACCTGTCCTGCGGTTGGCACGTGAGAGTGGCTTTTAAATAAGAGGTATATTGGGCCAGATGTTAACTACCTCGCCTGGTATACAGGAGGTCGTGGGTTCGATCCCGACTCTGACGCCTGCTGTATATTTGTTGTCTCTCTCTGCTTGTGTGTCTGTCTTTGTGTTTCTGTGTCTTGTCTCTCTCGAAATTTCACACTTAACTTCTAATTTAGTAATCTTTGGAAGAACGTAATCAACCAGACTATGCGTTAATAGTGTGTTGACCGACTCTCTGTGTTGCATTGCAATACATTTCCAAATTATACTAAGTTTGTTTGATTTAGTGTGTTTTCTCTCTCTCTCTCTCTGTGTGTCCTCGTGTTGTCGCTCTCGTATTTCCTGCAGTCACGAAAGCTCAAAATCTCTCATTGACATGCTAATTTATCTACCCCCCCCCCCTCTCTCTGCCCCCCTCTCTCTCTATTTAAGGCCTCGACACAGAGGCGTTGTTTCTCTGTGTGCCTACGTGTGTCTCTCTCTCTGTGTCTCTGTGTTATCTCTCTCTGCTTATGTGTCTGTTTATGTGTCTCCGTGTCTGTGTTTGTCTCTCTCTCAAATTTATAAATCTTTGGAAGAACGTAATCAACCTGGTAGGGTGTTGGCTGTTATGTTAGCCGACTCTCTGTGTTGTATTGCATTATATTTCTAAGTTTACTAGGTTTGTTTTCTCATTCATATATACCTGATGATGATTGCGTGTGTTGCAATCGAAACGTCGTATGCTATTATTAAATTTATTTTTCTTTCTACGTGACTTTACCGAAAGAACCAAAGAGTAATTCCTCCAAATCAAGTTTTTATATTTGGAGTTTGCGTGTCTCTCTCCCCGTGGTCGCGTGGATTTTTCTCCGGGTCCTCCGATATTTCCCTCCACAATTAGACTCCACGTGCGTTCCGAGCGGTGGTTCTTAACCTGGGGTGCACGCACCACCACCTCGGGGGGCGAGATGCTCCTTGTGGGGATGCAAGATATATCCAGATTTTGTTAGAAGCGAAACACAAATTATGCACGGGCACGTAGTGCAGCTCATTTGTTACATCAATCCCTAGGTATGTATTAACACTGTTTACGATTGATAACCAAGGGTGTGGAAGGCTGCAGTAAAGGTTAAGAACCACTGGTTTAGAGTGTCTGGCTGCTATAAATTTCCACGTGGTAAAACATTTCATTGAGCTATCATTTGTGGCCAGGTCGTGTATGAAAAAGAGCTACATGGCTCAGTGGGCCTTACCTGGTCAAAATAAAATTAGTTTAGTTTTAGCCACCCCTCGGGAAATGACCAACTCCAAACGGACTGCAAGGATAACGTCGGTTTATTTATCCAGGAAAACCACACCGAGTCTCAAGACTCTCCTTGAGGAGGGTCCTGCTCTACCTTGGGTCCCTTCTCATCCAGAAGCTTTCTGGCTTTGTGGACGGGAGGAAATCGGAATTCCCGGAGAAACTCTACCCTCCCCTCCCCCCTCCCCCTTGCGAGGAGATGACAAGAACACGTCCGCTCAGACAGATTCAAGAACTTAATTCTAGATTTGAAGCTTTCGTGACTGCAAGGATTCATATTCTTAGGTTTTTTCGGTATAGTCACGTAGGTAAAACATAAAAATTAATAAAAGTAAAATAAAATAAAAATCACGACGTTTCGGAGGCAACACAAGCCTCCGTCTTCAGGTGGAATCGTCACAGCCACGACAGCTGTATCAATCTCTCATTTACATTTACTTGATACAGCTGTCGTGGCTGTGACGGTTCCACCTGAAGACGGAGGCTTGTGTTGCCTCCGAAACGTCGTGATTTTTATTTTATTTTACTTTTATTAATTTTAATGTTTTACCTACGTGACTTTACCGAAATAACCTAAGAATATGATTCAAGAACCACACTTTGCTGTCCCTTACATTTCTCCTCTTTGGGCAACCCACTTTGCAGCGAGGTCTGCTAGCTTTCGCAAAACAATCCAACGTGTTCCACCAACCCTTCCATCCAAAGCGGCAGATTGACAGAGGAGTGCGCCACGCGCGATTCACAGCTGATCGCCACGTGGTTGATGCGACACGCGGGGTCACGTAGCGTTGGGACGCGACGTCAGATCCGGGAAATCTTGGATGCAGGCGGAGGGATCAGAGACCAACGCTCCTAGTAAACATTATCTTACACACGCACACGCGAGCCAAAGAGCTAGGCCCGTATGGTTCTCTCTCTGACCCCTTTGTGTGTGTGCACACGGTGGCGAGATGTTAAGTGCCTCGCCTGGTATACAGGAGGTCATGGTTTCCATCCCGACCTTGACGGCTGCTGTATATTTGGAGTATGCGTGTCTCTCTACCCGTGGTCGCGTGGATTTTTCTCCGGGTCCTCCGGTTTTGCCCTCAACATTGAAAACATGCGTCTGTAGTATTTGGCTGCTATACATTTCCACGTGATAAGCTACTTCGCTGAGCTATCACTTGTAGCCAGGTCGCTAATGCAAAAGAGTTACATAGCTCAGCGGGCCTTACCTGGTCAAATCTAAAATAGTTCAATAATAGTTCAGATCCGGGAATGTTTTGGTGCAGGCGTAGATATGAGAGACCAACGCTCTTCGGAAACCGTCTCTTACGCACCCACGAGCCAGAGAGCTCGGCCCGTTTAGTTCGCCCCCTGACCCCTGTGTGTGAGCGAGTGTGTGTGAGCGAGTGTGTGTGTGTGTGAGCGAGTGTGTGTGTGTGGGGAGCGGTGGTGTAGCGGTTAGCGCGCTGCGCTATGAACCTGGCAACCCGGGTTCGATTCCCGCTCACGGCTAACACCAGTGACGATTATCTGAACCGGTCCTGGGCCTCCCCTAGGTCAACTCAGCCTTAAATGAGTACCTGGTGCGGTGTGTAAACATCGCCACTGGGGAGACAAAGGCGGTCGGGCGTGGTGCTGGCCACCCACCCCCTCGTGTACCGTTCCGGCCTTCATAGGTGCTCGCTAACAGCACTTGCCCCTACAGTCTGTTAAGGCTATACGGGGGATCTTTGTCTTTGTGTGTGTGTGAGCGATTAGCGCGCTGCACTACAAACCCGGCGTCCCAAGTTTGATTCCCGCTCACGGCCAACACCAGCGACGATTGTCAGAACCGGTCCTGAGGCTCCCCTAGGTCGACTCAGCATAAAACGAGTACTTGGTGCGGTGTGTAAACATAGCCACTGGGTATACAAAGGCGGCCGGGCGTGATGCTGGCCACACCCACCCCCTCGTGTGCCGTGTCGGCCTTCATAGGTGCTCGCTAACATCATTTGACAGAACAGTCTGTTAAGGCTATACTGGGGGGTGGAGTGGGTGGGGGGATCGTGGTCTTTGTTTTGTGCGCGCCGATGCGAGGCGCGCGTGCACGCGTCAATTCCAAATCGCTTGCAGTCTCGCCCACGCAAATGCGGGGAGCGCGGTGGCAATGGTTGAAGAGCGACGCCGCAGCGATGGTCAGTGGCTTCTGGACGCTCGCGGAGACGCGCCGAACAGCGCACCACGATCAGGGGGCAGCCGCTGTCGCCGGCTCAGACAGCGGGGCCCTTGACCGGCTGGAGCGACGTGAATTTGTCGGTCAACGAACCTCGACTGTGCATACAAACGACTGTGACGATGTCGCCTCGTGTGTGTGTGCGCTGTATATGGATGTGGAGAAATCGCTCGGTGGAAAATGTCTGCGTGTGAATTGCAGTGGACGAATTACGTCGTGCAAATACTTATTTCTGGTTTTTACAAATTCTCTCCCCGTGAAAGTTATCGTTTAAATATCAACCGCGATTAATGTTACGTGGACATCGCCTGTACAAAACACTCGTGTAGAAATCACTCCGCACAAACCGCTCTGTGCACGCGGCTGCGTACAAAGCTTTCTCTCTCTCGTTTTGTGTACAAACTACACCCACACACACACGCACACAAAACCTCGCTCCCTACAAATTGCTATGCACAAATCTCCTTTAGAAATCGGCTCGGCTTTTATACATATCAAATCGTTCCACGTTCTTCCTCCCCCTCCCAACCCGCTCCCCCTTTCCCCCCCAACCCGCTCCCCCCTCTCCGACCCCCCCCCCCCCCCCACCATCAGCCACCAGCCTCGTGCCGAAGGAGCCGTATGCCGGGGGCGCGTCGCCTCCTCGCCATGCTCTCCATGATGCGGCTGAGGGATCGTGGCGTACAGAGCGTCCTCACGCTCTCCGGCGCTTTCGCCGCCTTCACGCTCATGGCGATCTCGGTGGGCACCGACTTCTGGCTGTATTCGCGCGGCGTGTGCCGGGACCGCACCAACACCGACAACGAGACGGTGAAGCGCAACGAGGAGGTGCTCACCCACTCGGGCCTCTGGCGCGTGTGCTGCATGGAAGGTGCGTCTCGTCCCTGAACACACCTTTTACACCCTGGCAAACCCCGTCGTACCTGTACAATGAGCCTCTGACCCTTAATTCTGGCCTGACACTGAACCAGGTGCGTGGCAATGGCCATTGTACTGCCGTCGAAGGAAGAGTGCAAATTTGGCGACGCTACGGACAAAATGTCTCGTTGAACTAGCACTCATCGTCAAAGAAAGGGGCCCTTGCCTGCGAGATCGGCAACTCACCAGCATTCAATTCGAGCAAAGCTTGACGCTGTTGCTGATGAGCTGCTGTTTGTCAAAGCGGGTCCAGATTTTGCCTGTCTGGAATCAATGCAGTTGATGTTACGCGCTCCCCAGAATGCAGTGCGGCTGATGGGTTGTCTGAGAAATCCCTTCTTTACGTGGAAAGACGGATTGGTGCAGAGGTACAATTCGCCTGCTTATTTACGTCATTCTATACTTTCCTATTAAGGCCACAGTATTACTGACGAATGTATTACGCTTTGGTTTTTTCGGTAAAGTCACGTATAAAGATAAAATAATAAATTAAATAATAGCATACGACGTTTCGATTGCAACACAAGCAATCATCATCAGGTATAATGAAATAGCGACATAGAATCTAACCAGAAAACTATAGACAGACATATAAGCAGACAGATATCACCAAGATACATAGAGAGAGCAACCCAGGTACAGAGAGGGGTGATCGTCTCTGTGGGGTGGCCTTAAATTAAGATTGAATGTATTACGTTTGTGTTGTTTTATCTGTGTGTGTGTGTTAGTATAATATTACAGCGCTAATCGTTTAACTGGGTTAGTGTCCATGGAGATTCGCTTTGGTTGTGAGCCCTGGCAGTTGCGTTGGTATTCTGGTAGTTTGTATATTTGCATTTTTTTTTTTATTATTCTTTAACCAAGGATCTCCTCTTCCTAGAATGGTGTCTGTAGGGTCCGCTGTTGTACGTTGTAGCAGCTGTTATAGTAGCCATGTGGCCATGCTTAGCCGTGAGATTAAACCACAGGCCCTAACCCGTTGAAACAGATTAATCGTCTCTGTTGCTAGATAATTCAACTCACTCGTCAACAGCACTGCTGCCTTTAAATATTTGAATGCATTAGACGTAGTTCCGGGCAATGGCGCATACACATTATGTGATGTGCATAAAAGTGAAATGCTTTATGTGATATGAAGATGGGCCATTTCCGAACCGTGTCCTGTTATATATATTATTGAGGAATGTGTTGAGCGTGTGTTGTTAATTGTGCCTGTGCACCACTTCCAACGCAGCAGCTGCAGCATCACCAAACAGTCTGATCTCTCTTGCAAGGGAGAACAAGACTCCAAAATACTTCACGATTTAACGGATATATTTATAGTCATCTGCAAAAAAATGCCAGGGATACGTACGGTCATCACAATAACGTGGAGGGGAACTGGAAAGTGCTGTGACTAATATCATAGACAACCAGTCTCAATCTACTCTGCAAACACTGGGTGGTGCCAATGTCTCTGCCCGGGGCAATAACGATGAGTAACGTGATTGTGTGATAGCTATTATATTTATTTTCTTCAATAAGTTGGTTATCACATCGCTCGCCTTTATTGGCCAAATATGAAATTCTCAAACGATACATTTTCGCGACTTGGCGGCGTCCGATGTCTGCCTTGGCGCGGTGCCGACGATTGCCGTGGCTCTTGCTCGTGCTATCAGAGCTGACCCCGTGGCCTCGTGCTAGCCAGGCTGACCCCGTGACCTCGTGCAATCAGAGCTGACCCCGTGGCCTCGTGCTAGCCAGGCTGACCCCGTGACCTCGTGCTATCAGAGCTGACCCCGTGGCGTCGTCCTAGCCAGGCTGACCCCATGACCTTGTGCTAGCCAGGCTGACCCCGTGACCTCGTGCTAGCCAGGCTGACCCCGTGACCTCGTGTTATCAGAGCTGACCCGTGGCCTCGTCCTAGCCAGGCTGACCCCGTGACCTTGTGCTAGCCAGGCTGACCCCGTGACCTCGTGCTATCAGAGCTGACCCGTGGCCTCGTCCTAGCCAGGCTGACCCCGTGACCTCGTGCTATCAGAGCTGACCCCGTGACCTCGTGTTAGCCAGGCTGACCCCGTGACCTCGTGCTATCAGAGCTGACCCCGTGGCCTCGTGCTAGCCAGGCTGACCCCGTGACCTTGTGCTAGCCAGGCTGCCCCCGTGACCTCGTGCTATCAGAGCTGACCCCGCGACCTCGTGCTATCAGTGCTGACTCCATGACCTCGTGCTAGCCAGGCTGACCCCGTGACCTCGTGCTAGCCATGCTGACCCCGTGACCTCGTGCTAGCCAGGCTGACCCCGGGCTTCGTGCTACCGATGTCACTTGGATCCGCTGGCTCACTCGACTCGGCGTGGCCACTTTAAGTGATCCCTGCCAGACAAAGGCGGTCGGCCGTGGTGCTACGTCGCTAACAGCACGTACACGTGGAACACGTGCACACACACGTGTGACACTACACACACACGTGTCACACGTGTACACACACGTGTGACACTACACACACACGTGAAACACGTGTACACACACGTGTGACACTACACACACACGTGTCACACGTATACACACACGTGGGACACTACACACACACGTGAAACACGTGTACATACACGTGTGACACTACACACACACGTGTAACACGTGTACACACACGTGTGACACTACACACACACGTGTCACACGTGTACACACACGTGTGACACTACACACACACGTGAAACACGTGTACACACACGTGTGACACTACACACACGTGGAGCACGTGTACATACACGTGGAACACGTGTACACACACGTGTGACACGACACACACACACGTGGAAGACGTGTACACACGAACACACCGAGATTTTAATCAAAATTTCAACCGGCTCTATTTTATAAAATTCACAATCATCGGGCGGGGACTGACTCTCCTACTGGACATCTGTGAGAAAAAAAAGAACTTTATATCTCATCGGATTCCTCCTGCCGTATAAATACTACATTTTCAGCTTCTGATTATAATTTGTATCTGAAAGGTAGTAAATCGGTAACCGCGGAAAGACGTAGCAACGTGATGGGCCTTGATGACTTTACTTTGGGATCCTGTGTCCGAGAGTACAATGTCCTGATTATCCATGATAACCTATATATCATTGCACCCTATTACGCCTCTGATCGGAGGTACAGCTGTATAAATCACAATGACACTTGTCAGTGTGGTTTCCGCAGTTATCACGAGGATAAAATAAGGCAACGAGATGGGCGATGTGAGATGGCTGGATGCCAAGATTATCCCCCACGCCCCTGTCTATGGAGGAGCTTCCATGTATGGAGGAGCGTCCCTGACTATGGCTGGAAGTGGGGGCATTTGGGGATGGGCGCTGGGTGACTCCAATCCGAAGCCAGATATGTCGTTCACTTGCAAAACCCTTGCGACATTTCGCCCTCGGGGCACACCGCCGCACGTGATCGATGTCTGTGTCGAGATGACACCGGTGTATAATTTTAAACGCGAGTGCGTATGGGTGGTTTTTTTTATCAAACAAACGAAAAACTCTTTCGAATTTCGCGAGATGTTTAATCTCGGGATGTATCTGCGGGCGCAGTCGCCTGCCCCGCTCGTCTGATTTGACAGCTCTCTTGTGAGCGATTAAATTAGTACCCGCTGCAATGTGCGTAAACATCGCCAGTGGGGAGACAAAGGCGGCTAGGCGTCGTGTTGACCACTCAACCACCTCGGTGTGCCGTTCCGGCCTTCACAAGTGCTCAATCACAGCACTTGCCCCAACAGTTTGTTTAAGGCTATACGGGGGGGGGGGGGGGGGGGTCTTGGTCTTTGATCAAAACTCACAATGCTGGTCATTGTGAACTGGTGAAGCGGTGCGTGGGTGTAATGGGGGAAGAGCAAGAACGGTTCAGATATCACCCGCGACTGACGTTGCTTTGGCCATGGCAGGGATTCAAACTCGGGTGCCCGGGCTCACGGATCGGAGCGTGAACGTAGGCCCGGAGCGGTGCGGTCATCCTCATCACGCGAGCTCCCATCATCCTCGCTCACAATCGAACAAAGACGGTGGCCACTGCATCGCGCGCTTTCAGATGCGCTTCTGCGGCCGTCTGGAACGCTCTTCCATCGGGCATTAGGAAGGCGCTGGGGCTACGGACGTTTAAATCCTAATCTAGATTGACAAACTACATTTTTTGGAACTGCTTTTATTTTGCGTGTGTTTAGTTTGTTGTCCTTCCTGCCGCACCTCCGATTAGCGCGGTTGGCTAACGTACGGTGTGAAAGAAGTTCAACATTCATTGGCAAACCCAGGGCCGCGATTCCATTCAAGAATTGGGTTTTTATCCGTCTCGTTTTGTTTTTTCCTGTTGAGGTCAGCCCGGTCACCAATGACTGGACAATAAAATATAAATGTGAGATATGGTTTTCCGAGGGAGCCGAATGGTGTTGTAAATATAATAATACATCATGGTGTTAGACCAGAGGACGCCAAAAGGCGTACAGTTTGAGACGAGACTCTGGTGTGGGCAAATCCGTTTCAAAAACAAAGCATATATTATACTCGTTGGGTTTTTTTGGTAAAGTCACGTATGTAGAAATAAAATAAAATTATACTAAATTAAATTAAAATAAATCACGACGTTTCGAACGCAACACAAGCGATCATCATCAGGTGGAAATGGGGTAAAACACATGGCGAGGGAACACACAGGGGGACATCACGCACATAGCACACAGAGAACGGCAAACTGCACGGAGGCAAATACAGCAAGAAGATGGGAGACGAGAACTCAACAGACCTTAGAAACATCACGTGATGCAAAACCAGTCGGCCAACGACACAGTTAGACACTAACCTGGTTGACCACGTATTTCAAAAGACTGCTAAATTTCTATATTAATGCATATATTATCGGAGTATTTTTTTTCTGCATTCTGACCACTAGTATTGTGGTTAATGCAGACATGATTCCTTGTTAAA